TTTACCAGTTTTCTTATTGAGATCTCGAGAACAGGACTGTAGAGGACCAAGTGTCTGAGACACTTACTAGCTATGTGACCTCGGGCAAGTCACTTAACCCTGTTTGCCTCAGTTCCTCATCTGTAAAATGAGCTGGAAAAAGGAAATGGCAAACTGCTCCAGTAAGTTTGCCAAGAAAATCCCAAATGGGGTCACGAAGAGTTGGATACAACTGAAACAACCAAACAACAAAAACTGAGAAAGAGGAAAGGAAAAAAAAAACTTAATTGACAATTACATTTTCAAGAGCCTTAAATTTAACAGAGGATCCTTAACTTTATTATAAGCAGAAAAAACATGTCCTCTATATCAAAATGGGAACTGCCATCTCTGTAACAATCATCCATGCTCCGTTCAGAATCAGCTACGCTTCAGCACCTTGCCAACCTGGATTATGGCCTCTTCTGTCTTCCTCCCAAATTCAGTACATCTGAATATCATCACTAATTTCTGGGAAAGAGGCAAAATTTCCCTCTCCTAAACCATCTATAGGACAAACCAAAGAAACACAAAGACGTTTTCTTTTCCCACTTATCAGTGCCAGCTGCAACACATAGAGCCTGTTCTCACTCATCGTGAAATTATCTTGATAGCACAAATGGCACACACATCTAGCTGATACACATTACAGAGAAAAAAGAGAAACATTCTTTCCTAGCCTGGACTATGGCCACACCAACTGCTTTATTATTTTTACTGCCTGTCAAGTTTCTCCTGTCTGGACCAGCTTCTGAGTAACATCTGATGTTAAACTGCCCCTCAATTGGCCTACCACTTATTAGTAAACTGTATCTTCTACCACTCTCGACTGGTGCGTCACACCCTTTTGGTCACCAATCTGTTACCAAGTTTCATTCCAGTTTACCAGTGATTCAGGACAGGATCCAAAACATGAAGCTATTGGCAAGTGAAATCAAATGCAAATGAATTTCCTAATTTGTTTGGTATCTGAGATATATCCAGACACTGTAAAATTCACAAAGAAAATGAATGCTGTAAATTTTTACAACCCTAAAAATGGACAAAGCAAGCAAGGGATTCCAACCAGATCAGTGAGACACTTTGCACTAAGTGCAAACAATGAATACCACTGCTCCAATACCATTTACTGCTTTTAACTGTGGCTACAGGGGAAATGAGTTAAGTAAATGTTAAAAGCTGAAAGGAATGATGCCAGATCCCCGAAGCTAACCATCTCCCTCTTGCTCTCCCTCTCCTCAGGATCATCAATGACTACTAAGGCCTAGTTTTACACACAATACTCAATGCTGATCACCATCTTGATGAGGTCCAAGAAAGCAAAAGAGTGTCCCAATTAGAAACTAACAGACTACCTACAGAACAGAGATAATTCTTGGAAAACCTTTCAACTTAGACCTACAGGTAGTGCCATACTTCAATCAAAGCAATGGCAGCAGGAAAAGAAAGTCTACCTCTGAACTGGCCTAGTTTTCCACAAGGGATAACAGGCTGTAGATTTTCCAGTGCTCATCCATCAGCATACCCAATGGCCAGGCTTCACATTATGTTGGGAGCCTTACCTTGTGGGCCATGATTGCCAAAAGGAGGGGGTTCCTCATCTGATGTGGAACTGAGGGTCAAGCCCAGCTCAGCAGCTCTTTTCTTCTGCTTCTTCTGGGGGCTGCTGAACTCTCCTTCGCCTCTTCTCTTCATTGTCACTGCAACCACAAATGGCAGTTAACTCTCTCTGGTTCAAAGCCACATGAACAGGAGGTGATAAAAGTCTGGGGGCACAAACACATAAACCATGTAAGGAATAGAATTTGACATTTCTGATCATCTTCCAAAGACAACACTCCAATGACCTTCTTTTGGAATGAGCCTCAGAAGAGGCCAGCCAGGATCTGGTTCTCATTAGTAATTATTAGTTTTATGTATGTTTTTTAAATGCAACATACACCCAGAAGCGACTGTAATGACAATGCTAAACAATTACACATTAACTCCCCATCTCCTAGTGGTCACTATTCACATGGCGAGTTCATATTTTTTCATACTTTTGAACACTGTAATAATACATTAGGATGCAATCTGTTGGGATGGGTGATGACAAAGACAAATAAATTTACATCTACTAACAGCAAGGGCTCTGCAAAAACAATTGGATAATCACTGTTATTTTTACTACTGACAACTGATTTTTGGCTTCTTTCAATGTGAACTTAAGCATACGGAAGAGTTAGGAAACTTTTCTGACAGTCATAGTAGCATTCTATCCACTGGTTTGTTGGGTGAACGCCAGTGGCATAGAAAGCAAGTTTTTTTGGACATGAGGTTGGCACACAGCCATGGTACACAAATGGCTAGGAAAATGGAAATAAGCACACATCAAGCCACTATCATTTATTTACCGAGTTAGGTACTAAAGTAAAAAATATCAGACGGTAAAAGGGAGCAATAACACCTAAATATCTTAACAGAATGATCATCTTTATTGAAGAGGATATTGAGTCTAACAAATTGTTGTCCACAGATCCCTGGTATTCTAGAAAGCCTTCCACACAGCACGGTCAGATGGAAAAAAGGAAAATGAAGAAGCAGACATAAAGCCAAAAAAGCTCCAGACTTGGCAACAGCAAAGGGCAGGGGCTAACTGGGGCTACAGGTCTTGGTCACAATATATATCACATTTGGAAGCAGTGACAAACTCCAATCTGCTGTCAACTTCACCAATGCCACCTCCTAGAGCCCTGGATCAATTTACCTTACTGTCTGTCTCTCCCCCTAGGACTAGCCAATTACAGTCTCATCCCCTTCTGGATATGACACCTCCATCTTTCCACTTCCATGACATAGACTGGGGGGGAGCAAGCAGAAACTATGCCTGAGATGAGTAGTAAGAAGGGTCAATACCAGAGCCTCAGGAGTCACCCTAAACTCTAAAGAATGAAGCTATGGGAGGAGTGTAGTAATTGGGGATAATCCTCACAATGATACTGTACCCACAGCACCTCCAAAGGATGTCAGGTGTTTGAGCAGTTAAAAAGATGAAACTCCTCTCAACCAACTCTAAGGGCTCCAGGTGTGAGAAAAGAGAAAAGCACAGAACTGCTTTATAGCTAGATGGGGAGATGGGGGGGATGGGGGAGAGGGAGGTGTTGCACAATAGAAGCAATCCTAAAATTCTAGAATGTCAGAACTGCAAGGGACCTCAGTGGTCATTTTATCCAATCTTCTCACTTTACAAATGAGGGACCAGAGGCCCAGATAGAAAAAGCAAAAACAAAATGTAAGAGAATTGTTCTATCACAGTCTACCTGAACGAATAAAAGGAGCTCTCAATTCCAGCTTCCCTACCAGAATGTTCAAAATCAACTCCTACGAAAAACCTTAAGTTTCCACTTGGACCCTATTTCCCAACCCCTTTCCGACCCACCCATGCCCAAAAGAATGTTTAAGAGGAAAAAAAGATGCTCTTCCATCTTCGAAGCAGAGCATCAAATGTGAAGGCAAGGGGCACTGGGAAGGCTAGCTGAGGGTGGAGAGGTGCTGCCAGGGACAGAGGAGGGCCTCTGTAATAAAGCGAGGGCAGAACTAAGTGAGAACACTGGGGAAGAGAAATGGCAGAGGAAAGGACGGGGGAAAGAAAGTAAGGAGAGGGGAGGAATAATACAGTGGGAGGAGAGGGAAGACAGAAAGGGGAGGATTAGAAGAAGGAACAGGAGGGGAAGAGGGTCACGGGGGAGGGGGCCAGGGAGGAAAAGGTGGAGGAGGAGAGAACGGGCCAGCAGGGGGGAGGGGGAGGAGGGAGGGAGAGGGAGGGGGGAGGAGGGAAGGAGCAGGAGGCGAGGGGGGCAAGGGGAAGGGCACCAGGTGTAGTGAGCAGAGGGGGGGGCCTGAAAGGGGAGGGAAAGGGAGCAGGAAGGGCATGGGGGGGAGCAGAGGCGAGGGGGAGGGCACCAGATGTGGTGAGCGGAGGGGGGGGCCAGAGGGGTGAGGGAAGGGGAGCAGGAGGGAAGGGGGAGCATCAGGGGGAGGAGAACGGGAAGCAGAAAGGAGAGCAGAAGGCGGGTGCCGTGCCCGGGCCGGCCGAGGCGGGTCGGGGAGCCGGGCCTCTCAGGCGGGCCGTGGTGAGGCAGGAGGCCAAGCCAAGCCCGCCCCGACGCCCTCCCGCTCTGGCCGCGCCCGCGCCCGCGCTCCGGCACTCACGCTGCGGGGTGGGGGCGAGCTGCCGGGGAGGGGAGAGGGGGAAGGGGCGTCAGGCCGCCAGATCGCGCCGCCGCCGCCGCCGCAGCCGTCGCCGTCGTTCGGCCCCAGTTTCGTTTCCTCACAAAAGCCGCCCCCGTCGCGGGGTGACGTCACGCACCCGGCCCGGCTGCGGCGCCGCGTGATGACGTCACCGGGGACCTTGCCGGGGGTCCTCCCGTCCCGTAACAGATTCTCCCGCCATCTCCCTCTCGGCCTGCATGGCATGCTAATGTTCTTCTTACCTAGCACACCCACCCACTTCTTCCCCCTCCTGTGCAAGGCCGCTAGGCGGCGCAGTGGTAGAGTGCTCAGGCCTGCAGTCAGGAAGCTCTGAGTTCAAATCCAGCCTCAGATACTGTGTTACCAGCCAGTCATTTTAACTGCTGTCTGCCTCAGTTTCCTCAGTTGTTAAATGGGGATCCTAGTGAGACTTACCTGCCAAAGTTGTTTTGAGGCTCAAATGAGATGATATTTTACCTTCCCCCATTGCATTCATGTTCTTAAATGTATTTAAGCCATTCCCCTATCAATGAACCTCTACTTTGTTTCCAATTCTTTGTTATCACAAAAAGAAAAGCTACCCTAAATGTGTGTACATATGTCTAATCTGAATGAAGAATTTTACCAGTTCTTTACAATAGGTGGCACAGTGGGTAGAGTACCAGGCCTGGAGTCAGGAGTTCAAATCTGGCCTCACACACATAATAGCTGTGTGACCCTGGGCAAGTCACTTAACCGTGTTTGCCTCAGTTTCCTCATCTGTAAAATGAGCTGGAGAAGGGAATGGCAAACCACTCCAGTATCTTTGCCAAGAAAACCCCAAATGGGGTCGCAAAGAGTCAAATGCGACTGAACAACAACAAACATTTCTTTATTAAATACCAACTATGTGCCTGGCACTGTGCTAAGTGCTGGGGCTACAAAAAAGGTAAAAGACAATCCCTACCTTCAATGAGCTTACAATTTAAAGGAATTAGAGTAATAATGACTAATTCAACTATGAGCAGTACTGATTTGCTCTCAACCCTTGACCAGATTGAATGGTTTAGGGAAAAGTAAGTTACTATTTTTCTGTTTGATGAATCAAAAACTTGTTGTCTAAACTTGGTACCCTTGTTAATTCACGATAAAAGAATTCTGTCTTTGTTCTTGAACACAATAAACTGAAAGCAGAAAAATTGGGTCAGATTTTGAAAAGCATGATGGATCTCTGTCCCTATAGGTTTCTCATTCACTAAGCAAAGGTATTTAGAATTTAATTAATAAGTCCTTTTGTTTCTGAGAGATGTGCCAAAAACACAAGAGTACTGAATTTTTCTTCCACAAACTTAATACTTTTCAAAGTGCTTTTATGTATATTGTCCCATTAGATAGCCTCACAAAGCACAGGAGTAACCAGATAGTGTCAGATCAAGAACAAAACTCCAAGACTTGAAAAAGTTTTAAGAATTTTTATTAAGTCATTTGGCAAAGGAGAGAGAGCCAGAAAAAGGTGCGGCTCTCCTCCGGAAATTGTTAATTGTTACATCTTACAATACAGAGTTCAAATTGTTAAGTTTTACAATATATAGAGTTCAAGCCAGGGCATACGGACAAGCATCTGGGTAGCCACTCTGGAAGCAGTTAGGCAGTTTCCAGAAAAGGGGAAGGTTACTTGAGATGCGTCTCAGCAGGTAAACACAAACATTCAATATAATTTTGTGATTGTTTAGTCATGTTCAGTCATATCCAACTCTTTGTGACCCTTTTTTGGCATTTCGTTTTTTTGTTGTTTTTTTTGGCTTTTGTTTTTTGGCAAAGATACGGGAGTGGTTTGCCATTTCCTTCTCCTGCTCATTTTACAGATGAGGAAACCGAGACAAACGGGGTGAAGTGACTTGCTCAGGGTCACGTAGCTAGTAAGCAATATAATTTGGGTGAAGCCAAAACACAAGCTATTGGGGAAGCTATGACCTGTTTTCCCTAGAAAGTCCCTGAGGTCAGCATGCCCTGTGATTTCAGGTTAGACAATTTTCTAACCATATAAAGCTAGGCTCAAACAATATTAGTAATTAATAAAGTATTTCCCCCTCCCCAGTAGTAATCTAATAGCAACTCAGAAAAACTGGTGCAGTTTTTCATCATCTGCAGTCTATCCTTTCGCAATTTCAGAATATACAGAATGGCTTTTAAAATAAGTGGAGACAGTCATTGGTTACTAGAAGTTTGGAAATCACACCTATGCTATAGCATTTAATAGGCTGTACAGCATAATGTCCACTTCTGATAATCTTATCATATGTGATAGTAAACAATAAATAATTTTATTCTACTAATACAGGGGTTCTTAGCCTTGGGTCCATGTATTTGTTGCTTTTACATTTTGATAACTGTATTTCACTATAATTGATTTCCTTTGTAATCCTATGTATTTTATTTTATATATTTTGAAACATTATTCTCACAAGGGGTCCATAGGCTTTACCAGACT